AGTGACTGAACAGGGAGACAGAAACAAAGACCAGACTAATCAGCAGATTGGGAGCAGGTGTGGACAGAGGACTCTAGAAGGGAGCTAGGGGAAAAGAGACAAACACAAGAGGGCAGCAGAGGGTAAAAAAAGAAACACATAAGTACTCAAATACAATCTGAAAACACCACAAAATGGGAATTAAACCAATAAAACTAGAAAACGTAGAAAAACATGAATCAAAGTAAAACTAAAAGCTCAAAAAGAAAACTTAAACAGAACCCCAAGTGCAGTACAGAATCATAACGCTCTCCAGTTTGGAAAAAGGGGTGAGTTAATCCACTGTTGTTTATAAAAGCAATAAGAGCTCAGATATTACCCAGTTCTCCTTGACAGATGTCTGTCCTGCTCGCTCCATCAACAATAAACTGGGGATTTTCACAGATTTCCTGAAAGGCAAAAGTACTTTTACAACATATATATGACAAATAAATTCATTCTTATTGGAAATAAATTGGAATTAAAGCGGTTCCTTTTAGCCATTCTAAACAACAGTTAAAGTTAATAGGGGGCTCTTTAAATCAGGTTGATTCTGATCTTATGTCTTCATGAGCCACCAGTGCAGAGGCCAAAAAACCTGGAGTCATGTTCTTAAATTAGAGCTCGCTCCACTTCTTTCCCCCACGGATGGGATTCATGTATCACTAATCTCAGCCAAATCTTTTAAGCTCCATAAATTATCTGCAATCATGCCAAAACTGTATCTTGTATTTTGATATGATGCATATGATGCATAAATCAGCAGATAGCCTATGTATGCTGAAAACAATTTTTCTGCAATAAGATTGCTGGACCTTGAGGCACATGGTTTGACTTTAGGGTGGTTAAACTGGTTAGACATGAGATGGTGTTTGTGTTTTCATCAAAGCTTATATTTGCTTTAAGACACTTCAGTCCTTCTGATTCCAACCCTGGCAAAGATTGGTAAAAATTGTTTCACTGTTGTAGCATGGTTTCTGTCTGATTGGTTAAAAGCAACATTTTGATGGAGTTAGCTTATTTCATAGCCTTTAATTGATGGAACTGAGACGAGGTGGATTTTTGGGTCTGATGAACTGTTTTTTCATATAGGTCTTTATAAACCTAACAAAGGGACTCAGTGATAAAACATTTTAACTTTGCCATCAGAAGCCATAAGATTCTTATCTAAAACATGCTGCTATATTTTAAAGAGTTCATTAGGCCATTTTTTTTGATTGATTGATTGATTGATTGATTGATTGATATTTTATTTTCAGACACACATGTATACAATAAAGGACAGTTTATGTCCTTGCAACATAAGTTAAAAGGAAAATAGTCTGAAGAGGGGCGTATTGGCAGAAGCAATAAGCTTATAAAGCCCACCCTCCAAAACCAAGTTACATTGGACTGGAAAAGAACAAATAAAAAAAGATGGCTACATTTTATTATACATACAAAAATATGATTTTAAGAAAATAATCATTCTAAAATAGCATTTTGAAAAAAGTAGTACCGATATCTTACTGCTATTAATTACATACAAATATTTCAAAATGTTTAATTACATTATTCTTAAATACGTTTCTAAACCTTATTAATGTTGCAAAGTCTTTTAACTCATGATCTAGTTTGTTCCATACATCAACCCCAACAAAAGAAATACAATCTTGTTTTACATTTTTTTTTTTTTTTTGCTTTGGGTTTTCTGAAATCTTTATAGTCTCTGAGATCATAAGCACTATTCCTGTTTAAATACAGACCCTGAATATGTATTGGAAACTAATTTTTCTTTACTTTGTATTTCATGCTAACTCCCAGAACCTTTGAAAGAGAAATATGCCAACAGGATCACAGACCCACCACCATTCTTTACACTCAGCTTTAACTTTACATTAGAACTTTATTGATTGATGGTCAGAAATTCCTCTGTTTGAAGTTCAGTTTGAAGTTATATTAATGCAATAAATGATTCATTAAATGCATCTCTTTTTTTTCCTAATTTTGTCGTTCGACTACTGGTTTTAATTTGCAATATTTAGGCAGCCAATTATTAGAAAGAGAAGGTGGGAAGACATCCAGCAAATGACTTTAAGTTGGGAATTAACCACCACCCCACCACCTTCTATGTCTATACCATATGTTGCCTTAGAAACATCTGTTTTTATGCTTAAATTTTAACCCTCTGTTGGACCTATCTTTGAATTTTTTTAGATGTTTACTTTTTCCAGACACACTTTTAAAGGGTGCTTAAGGTGATAAGTGTTGGTCTTAGATATGAATTCTACAAGGTCAATGTTTGCTTTTAGTGGGAAGACCTATGGGTTGGCTGCTACTTAGATGTCTCAAATGATGCTGGCTTCTGCCAAATGCTCCAGTTACACCTGCTGTTAAAGTTACACGTGCTCACAACACAAATCTCAAACTCATGTGTGTCAGAAAACTATACTGTATAACTACTTGACTTTGCCTTTACATTTTCTAGTGTGGCTGTAGAAAGTGAGAAACAAGTATGAACTCTGCAACTCATTGCAGTCATATCAACTAAATGCTTTCCCCATATACCTCAAGGGTGTTGAGATAAGCTTATATAAACTACTTAGAGCCCCTACTACCTCAAGTGAAACTTAACCTAAAGCATTGCATAGCAACAGAAGAGGGTACTCACTGTTGGACGTTTCCACTCAAACTTCATTCTTGATTTCTGGCTGTAGAAAAGCGAAGAGTCATTTGCAGGGAATAGAGGGTCCTCAAACAAAACCTTTTTTGACACATATTTATCCCTCAGCTCTAAAAAGGTTTTCAGGCGCTTTGCATCTTTGACGGCCTCATTCCTGCTGAGAATGGCCGAGTAGATGGAGTTTGCTCCTGTGATCCCGTAGTCAACGTTGCCATCAGGCTCCAGTGACGCCTCACTGTCAAAAAGCACCTTCACATTTGTTTCTTCAACCACAGGTACTTTTACTAGATGGCTCTCGTCCTCCATCATCTAACCCTTATGTGTCAGTTCTACAAGCTGGGAACCTGAGAAATCTCAGTTGTTTTCTGCTTACATAAAAAAAAAAAAGAAATAAAATGTGTGGAATTGCTAAAGAGCCCTGAGAAACTTCCGGTGTCCTCCCAATTTAATCACATTTAGTTCCTTTTTTTCTAAAGCAAGAGCTGTTTCTTAGTCTGTGAGTTAACTGTCTCACACCAGCAGTGTCCCCTGAGTAGTTGCCTCTAAATATAAACCTTTTTAAGAAGGGGAGGGGGCTTCTCAAAGGATCTCAATGTCCAGAGTTAGCAGTGTGGTTGTCAGATTGACAGTCTAGGTTTATTGAAACATCTAAGTATTAGGATGGACATATAAAAAACAAACATGAGGGGGTATGCCCTACTTCCAATATGTTTTGTAAAATATATTTTAAGACATCTGTGAAGATTCTTAGTCAACCAGCTTTAAAAAGTTTAGTTTAGGCAACTAGACATGAAGTCCATTTCAAGTTCACGTCCAGTTTCGTAAAATGAACTTTTTCAAGCAAGATTTTATATTTTTAACAGAAGGTCAGTAAAATAAAAACCCTTCGTGTTTTTGTATAAAAGGAATAATCACTTAACAAAAGCAAAACTTACCAAATGAACCATTAGTGACTGTAATAATGTATCTTTTAATTTAATTTATTTTTACATCGGTAATTCAATTAAATTCCTTCCAATTCATATTATTGCTATCAGTGTTTTAACCAAAGCACTGATGTTTTCATATCTGTCAAAACGTTGAAAACTGTTTATTTTAAAGAGTTATAAAACAATCACGCATAGAAGGAAAAATTTACAGATTGAGAAATGAATTTGGCAATCTGAATGATTGGTTGCTACGAGGACACCTAGTGTTAAGAAATTATATGACGTTTTTTCTGTCAAAGTGAAGCAACCGTCATGATTTATCTGTTTTTGATTGGTTGAATTTGCACTCAGCCAGGGCCCATAACAAATACAAACAGAGGGCGGTTGAGGACAAGGTTGCCAGGTTTGAGACAAAGCTACGTTCTCGCATAAACGCTGTTTAACATATCTCAAAGTCGATAAGTGAATGATTTGAGTTATGAAATAAAATATATTTGTTTGATGTAGTAGTAGGTAATTTGTGAAAACTATTTTTTTACCCGCTGCCACTTTACTAAAAATACAACAGAAAGGGGGACACTCCACGTTGTATCTGGCAACCAGCTCGGCTCTTTAGTGCCGTGTGCATCATCTGGAAGTTGTCGCCATCATAAGTAGCTACATGTCAAAGCTAGCTCTCAAGTCGTTATCCGTTGTGTCCGAATGCTATTTTCTAGCACCGTTAACTGATTTCCCTGTGTTTGATATCGGTGTTTTGTGAGTTATTGTGATGTTAACAATCAGTAAACGCGGTTAGTTCTGTTCCAGCGTGGTGTCGCTTTCTTTAAACCAACAGTAGGATCTATTTTCAGAGCACACATTAGCAGACTGGAGTCTTGAGAGGCAGCAAAGGGGCGGTGGGCTGCGGCTAGCAGCGAGCTTCCTACGTAGCCAAAAAAATTGTTGTTGCACGTTTTTAGGGACAAAAAATGATAAAACCAGAGCATTGTGTCTCGCTATGATCTATGTAGTTGCTTTCTGCTCTTAAGTTGCTAAAAAATACAACACATAATCAAGAAGTTAGCAGCGTCAGAGCTAGCTGCATCTCCGCTGAGAAAGCTGAAATTTAAAGCTAACAGGATCCTGTCTGGATAAATCTGTCGCAGCGGGACTCTTTAAAAACCTGGAGCTGCAAACGTCACTTTTCTCGTATTTGACAGGCAAGTACTACTTTATGAAGTATCCATACTTCTGTCTGGTATATGCTGATATGTTAAATGAAGGCTAACTTCCTCTCAGTTGTCGCAGTTGTCAGTCTTTATGAGCCAGATTTAAAATGTGAAGCGTTCTGTTTAGGTCATTTTCAGGTTCTGATGTTTAAATAGTGGGTTCTGTTTTGTGCAGCAGGCTATCGGGCCTGACAGCGGAGACGATGTCTGAGGGAGAGAGCAGACAGGCCCCGGACAAAGCCCAGGAGGCGAAGCCGGACTCCGGCACAGGGGGCCAATGGGTGGCATCCGTTTCACCGCCGGTGTCCACGGTCACCCAGCCGCCTGCCACCGCCGCCACGGAGGACGAGGAAGAGGAGAGCGAGGATGAGTCCGAGATTTTGGAGGAAAGCCCGTGTGGGCGCTGGCAGAAACGAAGGGAAGAGGTATGTGTGAATCAATAAACTACTCAGTTTGCACATAATTTGGAAGGTTACCTTTTGTGGTAAATGGAGTAGAACATGAAATTTAACGTAGTAATGTTCTCTTAAAATCTTTAAGATTTTTATTTTAAGACCAATTTGCTGAAAGGAAAAAAAAGAACATCACACAGAGAAGATGGCACGAGATATCGACTATAGATAAGCATGACTTAAGATGCACTGATCCGAGGATTTGCAGCTTATTGAAACGTCTAATTTCACTTTATAAAACATCAATCTAAAGCTAGAATCTTTCTTTTCAGTAAACTGACCATGAAAGAGGAATAGCTGCAGATTTAATAGCTCGATCCAGCATACAGGGCTTCCAAACAGGCAACTTTATAGCATTTGGCAAAGATGAATCTCTGTCTTTAATTACACGAAGGATGTGTTTGGAGTGTGTGTAGAGTTATCTATTATTTTGGTAGTTTGTTTAGCTTGTTAACATCTAGACACCTGTTAAAGTTAAAGTAAGCATCCATCCATTCTTCCATTTTCGGCCACATTTATCTTTGCTGGGTTTGCGAGGTCTGGTGCCTATCTCCAGCTGTCTATGAGCGAGAGGCGGGGGTACACCCTGGACAGGTCGCCACTCCATCGCAGGGAAACGCAGACAAACAGGACAGACAACCATTCACACACACGCTCACACCTAAGGAGAATTTAGAGAAGCCAATTACCTAACAGTCATGTTTTTGGACTGTGGGAGGAGGCCGGAGTACCTGGAGAGAACCCACGTATGCACGTGGAGAAAATGCAAACTCCACGCAGAAAGACCAGGAATCCAACCTGGAACCTTCTTGCTGCAAAGCGGCAGTTCTTTCCACTGCACCACTGTATTTCTATTTAGTTAACTGTTTTTCAAGTAAGCATGTAAACTTAAAAAAAAAAATAGACGTACTGCATATTTTAAATGCATTATGAATGGGTTAAACAGACATGTGAAGCAGATCTGGATGGAACACGTCTACAAAATTGTTCTGGTATTTATCTAAAATGAATGATTTACCTATAGACTTGTACTAGTGTTTTCTCTTAATTAATGCACTAAATGGAGTTTTCCTCCAGTAGATTTCTTGTTTTAGAGTCTGTATTCTCCAATGATTGATAATTTGATTCATAAATAAATTTTCTCAGTTATCGAATAGGCATGATGTTCAATCAGATAGTTTCCAGTTTAGTGGCATCAGATCTAATCTGTGTTACTACGTTTTGCTGGAATGCATTTGCATTACAGTGAACTTCTATTTAGTTGAAAATTAATCTTGCAAGTATTTCTTTTAAAACGGTGGTCAGGTGGCTTTGGTTGTCATATAGAGCCATACAAATATGCAAGGTTCAGAGAAATTAAATAATATTTCAAAATCGGGTAAAGATCCGACCCTGTCAGCATCGTTGTAGATCTAGAAATGAAGATCTGGTACATGAGAATCTGATTGAATACATTTTAGAGGTTCAGACAGATGAGATTTCTCTATTTTGTTTTTGCCTCAGAATGAATACGTTTGCAGATCCTGTATTTATACAGCAGCCTTAAGCAGCAAATTCTTTGACCTTTCATCTATTTTGTCTATCTGCTTTATTTTTATATCACATTGTGTGAAAAATGAAGCTGATTGCGCTTCTTTTCTTAATGTCACACAACATGGAAATATAAACCAAATTTATCAAATGCAGACCCTAAAATGTTCCTACTTTGAAAAGACAGAAACTGACCAGAAGAAGCACCAGGCGTCTGCTAGCTGCTAATTGTTTACAACTTTTGTTTGCCTCTAAATTTAATGTAGTCTAAACAATTGACAAAATTCCTAAATGCGTTTATTTTTTAAAGATAAAGTCCAGCTTATAGATGACCAACTGGAATATAGGCTCTTATTTTTACGCATATAACCTGTTGGTTCTCATTTGTAGTGCTCTAATGGTTTCCCTCTTTAAAGGTGAATCAGCGCAATGTTCCTGGGATCGATAACGCTTACTTGGCCATGGACACAGAGGAGGGGGTTGAGGTGGTGTGGAACGAGGTCATGTTCTCAGAAAGGAAGAACTTCAAACTGCAGGAGGTAGGTGGGGAGCTGATCCAGTGCACTTAGATGTTAATCAACCATTATTTATTAACAGCAATGGCCTCTGAGTCATTCATATGAAAGTCAGGTCCTCAGCAGCCTAAATCTTTAGACCCAAAACCTCTGTGCAAGCATTGCAGAAATGAACACGTTCTGGTTTTTGCCTTCCCGCCTTAGTGATTCATAAAGTTTTGAATTCTTTACATTTCCGAATTGATGACAGAACTTTCTTAGGAGTGTCAATGTCATGTTTTGTTTTCTTCTTCCAGAAATAGATTGTCTCAGTGACAGATCTGCTCTCTAACTAGATGACGTACAGTGAAGTAGGATTAGTCATGTGCATTTCATTACAGACGCTTGGAGACTGTAAAAGGGCTGTACAGAGAAACCTCTGTACTTTGTTTAGCTACCTTGGTGTTTGCCAAACATCTTGCTCTCTTATGGCCCGAATGAACTGGAAGCATGTTAATGAAAATAGGTTATTTTATAGAAAGCTTCCTCTGTTTCCTTTTAAAAAGGTTTAACTGTAGCCACAACATCAAACATAACCTTTTTCTCTCTGTAACAGCAATGAAGTGTGGCCTGTTAGTAGTTGGATGTGTTGCATTTGATGACGAGGAGAGCAAATGAAAGGTTTAAACTGTCTGATTTAGCTGATCTTCAGCCTTTTAATTTAGTTTACTTGCTTCTGTTTATTGTTTGTATTTGTCATTACAACTTTCTGTTAATTATTAGATTTTTCCACCTAATGAAAAAACTTTTTTTTTCTCTTTTCCACAACAGGAAAAAGTAAAAACCGTGTTTGACAATTTAATCCAGCTGGAACATTTGAATATTGTGAAGTTTCACAAGTATTGGGCAGATGTGAAGGAAAACAGAGCCCGGGTATGAAATCATTTTTTAAACAACATGAGCAAAATGTTAGTGTTCATCCTGACTGTGCTATAATTTAGTTTTTTTTTTACTGCTTTTGCAGGTCATTTTCATCACTGAGTACATGTCATCAGGAAGTCTCAAACAGTTCCTGAAAAAGACAAAGAAAAACCACAAGACCATGAACGAAAAGGTTTGAAATGACCGATTTCCAAATTCTCTACCTGTGCAGTTTGTTCTGACAGGATTATATGTGGTTGAAGTAAAACTCCTGTCGAACCAGTTTTCTTCAAACATGTTTCTAGCATGGAATGAATTCCTGCTAACTTGTTTCCTCTCTTACAGGCCTGGAAGCGCTGGTGTACACAGATACTGTCTGCACTCAGGTTAGCCTGACATAATCAATGCCCACCTTTCCTAAACTAATTGACTGAAGGTTCAGGTGCCTAAAATGGTCAAATGTGTAGATAGAATTGATTGAAATCTATGGATGTTAGATGTAAAACATTTTAGAATAGCTTAAAGATTCTGCAGACTTTTGCAAGGATATCTCAAAGGGTTGAAACAATCAGATTAATCGCGATTAATCGATTAAGTAATCATCTTATTTAGTAATCGATAAATTGTTAACTGGAGTCTAGAGACTCTAAAACCTGCTTTTAGCTGACAGAGCAACCCACTTAGAGCAGTAATTATATCAAAATTGTAAAAGAATATATAAACATTTTGCATTTAAGATAAAAAATATGTTTTTGTCTCTATCCAGGACTCCTCAAGAGGAAAAGTTTTAGTTAAACTTGGTTTATTTTTGTAAAAAAAAAAAGCTACTTTAAAGATCCTTTGTCGATCCGATTATTAATCAAAAAAATAATCAACAGATTAATTGATTTGCTAAATAATCGTTAGTTGCAGCCCTAATCTCTTTTCTTATGCAAATACAAAGCCTGTCCCGCTCTTTATGCAGGTTAATATGATAGAAAATATGACCAGATGTTAATACTAGATCATTAATGATTCCTCCCCTGATGTTTTCAAGGATGCAAACAGTATAGAAGTCATTGTAACTGTTGTGTATTTGCCTGCAGTTACCTGCACTCCTGTGAACCCGCCATCATCCACGGCAACCTTACATGTGACACCATCTTCATCCAACACAACGGCCTCATTAAGATTGGCTCAGGTGGGCCCCTGAAATCAGCTCATCACTTCCAACCCCTACAGATACAGATTATAAAGTCTTCTCCTCTGTGTTTCTCTAGTTGCCCCTGACACCATCAATAATCACGTGAAAACCTGCCGGGAAGAGCAGAAGAGCCTCCACTTCTTTGCTCCAGAATATGCAGGCAAGATCAGACTCGGCTGATTATCTCTGCAGCTTTTGTTTTCTTTCTGTGATTATAATTTACTTTTTTATTTTCCTGCTTCCAGCTGTTGCCAATGTTACCACAGCGGTGGACATATATTCCTTTGGAATGTGCGCCTTAGAGGTGAGAGGAGATGTTTGTGCCTTTCAGTTAGTTTCATGTTTAATGATGAGACTGGTAGCAAGTTACTTTATAGTTGCTTTTTTAAGCAGGATGATAAAAATGTCACTGATATTAATTTGACAGTACATGTGGTAGTTTTTACTTTTATCTTGTCATTAAAAATAGCTCCTAGCTTCTATTTATGCTTCCTGTTTTTCATCAGATGGCTGTATTGGAAATCCAGAGTAACGGAGATTCATCCTATGTGTCCCAAGAAGCCATAAACAGTGCCATTCAGTCCCTAGAAGATCCATTGCAGCGGGTCAGTGACAAGTTTAAAATATCAGTGACCTGTAGGGTCACAAGCGTTGCAAGTTTTAACGTTTCCTCTCTGCATGCTTTCAGGAATTTATCCAGAAGTGTCTGGAGGTGGACCCCAGCAGGAGGCCCACAGCCAAAGAGCTGCTGTTTCACCCCGCCTTGTTTGAGGTGCCCTTACTCAAGCTGCTAGCTGCACACTGTATCGTCAGCCACCAACGTAAGTCCACACTCACACTGAAAAGGTCTTATCTGTTTCATTTTTGTTGGTGGTGTTATGTAAAGTGGCACCGCTACTTTTATTTGTTTGTTCCGGGTTGCAGAAACATTTCCTCTTGGTGGAATCTGAGACTGCTTAGCTGTTAATCCGTCCTTTCTGAGCAGGAAATAAACTTTCGGGATTTGTGGCAAAGAGCTCTGAGTACTTTTAATAAGGTCTTTATGTCTGCTTTATTTAACTCGTTCTTAGCCTGAAACATACAAACTGTGCCTTGGGTTTGCTGATGAAGCATCAGTTTATGGAAAGTAGGACCAAACTTCATATGGTTCATCTGCTTGCTTAGCAGGAACAGAGAAAATAGAAGTTAGCTCGCACTAATGGTTGGTAGACCTTAGGGCCGCAGCTAATTATTATTTTGATAATCGATAAATCTGTTGATTCATCTTTCAATTATTGATTGGATAGCAAGCGGGGCTTATAGTTTTTACAGTATTTGAGTCGTATGAAGCTTAAAGCTACAGTGTGTAATAATTTCAGGGATATACAGTCAGAAATGTAATATATTATACATAACTATGTTATTTATCATCATCTACGAGCTCAGCCTCTTAACCTTAATATTTGCGTNGATTATTAATCAAAAAAATAATCAACAGATTAATTGATTTGCTAAATAATCGTTAGTTGCAGCCCTAATCTCTTTTCTTATGCAAATACAAAGCCTGTCCCGCTCTTTATGCAGGTTAATATGATAGAAAATATGACCAGATGTTAATACTAGATCATTAATGATTCCTCCCCTGATGTTTTCAAGGATGCAAACAGTATAGAAGTCATTGTAACTGTTGTGTATTTGCCTGCAGTTACCTGCACTCCTGTGAACCCGCCATCATCCATGGCAACCTTACATGTGACACCATCTTCATCCAACACAACGGCCTCATTAAGATTGGCTCAGGTGGGCCCCTGAAATCAGCTCATCACTTCCAACCCCTACAGATACAGATTATAAAGTCTTCTCCTCTGCGTTTCTCTAGTTGCCCCTGACACCATCAATAATCACGTGAAAACCTGCCGGGAAGAGCAGAAGAGTCTCCACTTCTTTGCTCCAGAATATGCAGGCAAGATCAGACTCGGCTGATTATCTCTGCAGCTTTTGTTTTCTTTCTGTGATTATAATTTACTTTTTTATTTTCCTGCTTCCAGCTGTTGCCAATGTTACCACAGCGGTGGACATATATTCCTTTGGAATGTGCGCCTTAGAGGTGAGAGGAGATGTCTCTGCCTTTCAGTTAGTTTCATGTTTAAGGATGAGACTGGTAGCAAGTTACTTTATAGTTGCTTTTTTAAGCAGGATGATAAAAATGTCACTGATATTAATTTGACAGTACATGTGGTAGTTTTTACTTTTATCTTGTCATTAAAAATAGCTCCTAGCTTCTATTTATGCTTCCTGTTTTTCATCAGATGGCTGTATTGGAAATCCAGAGTAACGGAGATTCATCCTATGTGTCCCAAGAAGCCATAAACAGTGCCATTCAGTCCCTAGAAGATCCATTGCAGCGGGTCAGTGACAAGTTTAAAATATCAGTGACCTGTAGGGTCACAAGCGTTGCAAGTTTTAACGTTTCCTCTCTGCATGCTTTCAGGAATTTATCCAGAAGTGTCTGGAGGTGGACCCCAGCAGGAGGCCCACAGCCAAAGAGCTGCTGTTTCACCCCGCCTTGTTTGAGGTGCCCTTACTCAAGCTGCTAGCTGCACACTGTATCGTCAGCCACCAACGTAAGTCCACATTCACACTGAAAAGGTCTTATCTGTTTCATTTTTGTTGTTGGTGTTATGTAAAGTGGCACCGCTACTTTTATTTGTTTGTTCCGGGTTGCAGAAACATTTCCTCTTGGTGGAATCTGAGACTGCTTAGCTGTTAATCTGTCCTTTCTGAGCAAGAAATAAACTTTCGGGATTTGTGGCAAAGAGCTCTGAGTACTTTTAATAAGGTCTTTATGTCTGCTTTATTTAACTCGTTCTTAGCCTGAAACATACAAACTGTGCCTTGGGTTTGCTGATGAAGCATCAGTTTATGGAAAGTAGGACCAAACTTCATATGGTTCATCTGCTTGCTTAGCAGGAACAGAGAAAACAGAAATTAGCTCGCACTAATGGTTGGTAGACATTAGGGCCGCAGCTAATTATTATTTTGATAATCGATAAATCTGTTGATTCATCTTTCAATTATTGATTGGATAGCAAGCAGCGCTTATAGTTTTTTTTACAGTATTTGAGTCATATGAAGCTTAAACTATGCCACTTGTGGGGTTCTTTCAATGATAAAGTTTTTTCATCTTGAATGCAAAATGTATAGATATTTTTTTTTACAGTTTGTGCTAATTTAGTTGGTGATCTGTAAGAAAATTATGATTTAGAGTCTCAGCAATTAATCTATTACTTATTAGTAGTTGACAATCTACTATGCATTATTATGAATCTGACAGTTTCATATATATATATATATATATATATATATATATATATATATATATATATATATATATATATATATATATATCCGCACTTTTTCAGCGGGTAAAGTGATATCATGAAGGATGTAAGCAAAAACGGAAATATATGAAAGAAGGATTTAAGGGTGTAAGGAAGAGAAACGACAGGATTTAATCAATGATCTTTGGAAAATGAATAAAATATACATATACAGAGAAAAATTCATCAAATTAATATATTCCACACTGCATTGATCCCCTTAGTTATATTTCAGTGTGCTGACATGTTTAACAAGGAGCCTTCAGGAGGTTTTACCTGAAAAGAGTCAGAAGCTCATCCACAGATGATTTTTAGTTTCTCAGGGAGCACAAATTAAACTTCAGGCTTTCTTCCAAATGTCAGTTGCACAGAAATATTCTGTAGTCATCTTGGCAAAGAGAACAGACAGCTTTTCTTTTATCTGTGTACAGACATGATCCCAGAAAATGCTTTAGAGGAGATGACGAAGAACATGGACCCCAACCTGGTTATCGTTGAAGCCAAGAACGGAGTTCAGATGAAGTAGGTCTTTAATTTGAATATTAGTTAATACCGGTTTAAGTACTTTAAATTTGAATTGATTATAGACAAATACTGGTGTATCAAAACAGTTAAATTACAAACAATATTTGTTCTTTTTTTTTCTTAGACTCTCCCAGTTTCCTGCTCTGGAATTGGACAAGTTTCTGGAAGACGTGAGGTGAGGACAGATTTAGTTTCAGTTAGGTTTTAATTGGAGATCAACTGAATGTGTTTTTTTTTAGGGCAGATACAGACTGTTTTGGCCTCAGTTTAACCAATCCCTGATATGTGCTGCTAGGGAGCTAATTCTTGAAGCCACTAAATATTTAGCTTTTTCCTTTAGTTTTTGTGTTAAAAATAACACGATAAGAAATATTACACAAATCTCAATTTAAACCAAAAGAAACAGTTTTTAACAAATCAAACAAAACATTAACAATCACTTGTAAATTGAGGGATTGACAATGCATGTGCTTCATAATATCAAAAGGCACAGCGACTGAATGCAATAATAAATTGACAAAGGCAACCCTATATTGGCCGATACAAGAACAGAAATTCGATATCGGCTCAAAACATGGTAGCAGTACAACTGTAGTTTTAACCATATTTCCAGTTGTTCCAATTACAATTATATATATTTTCATCTCATTAAACTCGATAAACAGGAAATAATTCACTCAATAGGGATTGTTAACATTGAAAACTCTTATTGTGATAAGATTTTTTTTTTTTTTTTTATTGCCATTTTCTCCACTGCTAGCTTTAGTTCTTTATAGGAAATGCATGAAATCTTTTTATTTTAGTTCACTGTTTTAATAATAATCAGAAATTTCACAAATCGTCTCATTAAAATATTAAGTCCATATCACCCTTCCCTAAATGTGATGCATCTAAAGCTGTATGGTGTTACTACGTTTATGTTATCAGGAATGGGATCTATCCTCTGACTGCGTTCGGAATGCCCCGCCCACAGCAGCCTCAGCAGGAGGCTGTGAAATCACCAATAGTCCCACCATCAGTCAAATCCCCAACGCCTGAACCTGCAGAGGTTGAGACCAGAAAGGTGAGAACTGATCTTCTAAAGCCCAATTTGCACTACCCTCTGAAAACCGACCTGTGCCGAGTTCGAACCGAGCTTGGATCATTAACCGTGCCGAGCTCGGTTCCTTACGACTTTAACACAACACGCTAGCGCTGTTTTTCGCCTCCTAGTGACGATCTATGGTACTAGTACAAGAACATCAACATGGCGGCACCCGTATCAGGAAGTTAGGTTATAATTGTAATATTTCGGTGCTTACGGAGAGTCAGGCGAAGAAGGCAGCCTTTGGTGAATTTACTTGACAGTCAGCTTTTTGGAAGTGGATACGACCAACAATAGTCTAATCAGGTCTTACAGATGGAGAAAACAACGACAGACGTTGAGGTTCATCACACTGCTAAGCAGAATCATTACTGGAAATCATGTGGCACAGTAGGGAAGCTAGTATTTTTTATGAATATCTGAAATTTCATGATTACAGAGGCTGACTGCAAGAAGATGTCGCGGCCTGCTCATGCGCTCTTTGTTATTCTGAGAACCGAGCCAGAACTGAATCGTGCCAAGCCACTGATAAGCCAGTACCAGTTTAGTTCGGTTGTGTCTGGCACAGTCGGTCCGGTTAAGTCGTGCGTGCCATTTACACATCAGTTACCATGCTCGGACCGATCTCGGCATGGTTTCAAAAGGATAGTGAAAATGGAGATTAAGACACCATTGCAAGCATCCAATTCCCAATGGAATAATTTTATTTAAAAGGAGGGGCTCTTTTGTTTGCTATTTAGACATAATAAAAGAGAAATCAGAGGTTTGGAATATTTTTAAACAGCTTATGTATAAATGTGATGTTTTAATAATGTTCTCTCCCCCGTTTGCTTGCAAAGAAGTTATGGTGATTTTTTTCAAGGCAGAAATGGTCTGTTTGCTTTTTGACTGGTTTTCATTTGTACCTCCAGGTCCTCCAGATGCAGTGTAACATCGAGCCTGTTGAGGAGGGCGCCAAGCATCACGTAGGTTTCAGAGGAGGCTCAGAGATTCTGGCTCTGAATGTTGGGGGAGGGGTATTTCAATTTAAATCTACTCCTGTAGATTAATAAAAAATCTATTTCTTTCCTCTTTCAGCTGACATTGTTGTTGAAACTTGAAGATAAACTAAACAGGCACTTAAGCTGTGACTTGTTACCAAGTAAGTAAGACTGGAGTCAAATTTTCCTAGGCTGTTTTATCTGGTTTAGAAATAAATGGATTCTCTTTTTTTATTTTTTTTTTTTCCTATTTTGACCAGATTAACTGGAAAACATAAAAAGAGATCTAAAATTTGTCTGACTCCCAACACAGAAAAAATATCGTTGACATAGATGATGTTCCTTTATTCTGCAGCAGGAAAAAAGGCTGGAAGCAGCTAACAGGAAGGCAAAACATTTAAATATTTACCTTCCATTCTCCTACATTTGGCAACTACATTCTCTTTTTTTATTACAGACAAACTGCAGTTTAAGTTTATGTTGGTTGCACAGGTTTTTAATTTATGATGCTGAGGATGGTTTAAAATGTGAACTGACTTTACTTCTTGGTTTTAAAAAGAAAAAAAACTTATGTAATACTCTCACACTCAGGAATTAATGACTACGTATAGCTGAATTACACATAAATTGAAATATTAGAAGCCTTTAATTCTTATCTTGATGATAATACGTTTCATATAATGAAAACCCAAATTAACTGTCTCAAAAAAAAAAAATATTTAATGATAATTTAAAAAAGACATTTGTAAAGTAAAAGCAGTATTATGGCCAATCCAGTCATGGGGAAGACTGCTGACATGACAGATGTCCAGAAGCCAGTCATTGACTCCGCCCACAAAGAGGGGAAGTGAAAAGGCCCAGGTTGTTCAGGTTGCTGTTTTCAAGCTTACTCAAAGAAAAGCGAGTGGAAGAAAAAAGTGCTTAAGCTAGAAGGATGACCACAGGCTTCAGAGGATTGTAAAGAAAATCCACTATTGGAAACAAAATTTGAATCAGTTATTAAACATTTGATTTATAAAACAACTTTTATATGTTATGTAAATTTTGTTTATTAAATAATTTTTTCCCGTTTTGCTCAGATGAGAACGTGCAGGAGCTGTCTGTGGAGCTGGTCCAGCTGGGGTTCATAAGTGAGGTAAGCAGCGGAACGGTCGATTAACTGCAAATTCCCAGTCGGCATATTTCCTCACTCTGTCTTTCCTAAACTCCAGGGCGATCAGCCGCGACTCGCATGCGTTCTCGAAGAGGCCTTCTCCAAGTTCTACAGCCGGAACGGTTCTCTCAACCCGGTGACTGTTTCCTCGTAGCCGAGGACTCGCCAGGCCTTTTCTCAGCCCTCCTCGTCCTCCAGAGCAGGACTAGCTTTCGCTTCACGTTTACATCGCTGCAAAGCTTTTAGGAGGACCGAGGAGGCAGCCTTGGTCTGATTGCAGATCCTGACGCCTCTTCTTGTATTTTCTGGTGGGGAAAGCTGCCACTAAGTGGTTGTTGCTCTCTTTTGTTCGTTATTACCTTTTACTCCGCAGTCATCTGCTTCTCTACGGACAGAGGAAAATGTAGTTGAAGCTAAATGGAAAGTCAGAACAGTTTTAACAGATTTCTTTTAGTGGGAAGGAAATGCCAGAAGTGGAATCGAATAACAGCAACAGTGTTTTCCTTAAGCCAGTGTTGGGAGTTGTATTTTAAACATCTTTTTTCTTAAATCATTTGATTGATTTGTCGCTGTCCGCTGTCCTGACATACTGAAGCGTCTGTGTTAGTGTTTTGAGCTTGAAGTCTAGTCTATTAAACTCTCCGAGCATTGAATGAGGTACCTGCTGACCTCTGATCTAAGGTAAAACCAGTGAAGAAGCATAAGCAGTGTCAGCTTTAAAGTTCTATCATCCCACAACATATAGTCATAAACTCATCAGCTGTAACACAATCAAATGAGCAAGTTAAGATTATATAGAAATCTATTTATTTGTCTCTCTTTGATGTATTTCTCTTCCAGCACAGAGACCAGGGGTTGATTGTATGCTTTTACTGCCTGTTTTTCTTTTAAACAAGCTGTTACTCTCTATGTAAAATGACTGAGTCCAAATATTGCAACACACACCAACAAGCAGTTCTCTTTAGGTTCATTTTTTTTTACTCAAGATATTAGTTTGATCAATATTCAAGTTCTGGATTTAACAGTACCGGCGGTGGCGTTTTACACATTTGCTCCATGTCTGAAAGGAAATCAATACATGAAATGTACTCGTCTCTCTCTCATCAGCTAGATTTTGTTGCACTTATGGTTCCTTTGGGTCATTGGATACCGTCTCAGACCTATCCCAACTGATAAGTGAGGATCTTTTGCTCATATTTGCACATTTGTAAACCTGTGAATCCTGTTTGAAACCCTCTCTGCGGCTTCTTGCTGGTGCACGCCGCTGAGAGGAACATGGAAGTTGGTGGGTCTGTGCAGCGATGTCCTGACAGGGTCTGTAGATATGAGTGAGGGACTGCAATCTTCATGTACTCTTGTTTGCTGGGCACTGCGGTTTTCACAATGCTTTTATCCTGTTTTTCACTTCCTCAACTAAAACAATAAAAAAAAAACATTATCTGCACCTAATGTGTGTTTGAATGAGTAATTTTTGAAATAATGTCAGTAAAAGTTCTTCAAAAGTCTCCATTATGCATCCATTCATTTCTGTTTCAATCAAGTGTTTCATTTATTATCCAACCATCCATGTGCTTATTTATCCATTCATGTCCTTCATCCTTCCATTCATGCATTTTCTATTATCCATCTGTGAACCCATGTGTGCTTTACCATCAGCCAACATCCACTTGTTCATTATCATTAAATGGATTCAATTGATCCATTTTTATCCAGTTTTTTCCATTTAAAACAACTACTCTGGAACCTTTAACCATACACTAAACCACAGTTTGATGGTTTATTTATAACTGTTGCAAATAAGTAAAAATAATTCACACAAATGACTCCCATTAGACAAAATTCAATAGTTTAAATAATTTATACAAAAAAAACTCATCCTGGTGTATCAGGAGCGTGACCTCTATCCTCCGAGAGTCATTTTGAATTCAACAATTATTCATCCAAAAATGCTTTACAAACGATAGCCCTTGTACAAGAATATTCATGTACAGAAGTTCATAATGTGTGTTTAAATGACACTTGGATAAAACACATTTCATGCTGACAAAAAAAAAAAAAAAAACACATTGCCGTACAAAATTACAGCAGTTAAAATAGAACAGCAAAGACTAAAAAATAGCTTTGATATAAAACACCCTAGAAAGACACCGTAAATAAAAAGCTACCAAAATGGCCACGTCTCAGTCATGAGTTTATCAGCTGCGTGGGAATTTTTCCATTTCTGTACAGCGAGTACAAAATAAATCCAAATAAAACCAGTACATAGCACTTCAAACACATTACTCATTCACATTAAATTCTTCTTTTACTTCCCAGTTTGAAAGTAACGTATATAGGCACAGTAATTAAATCCGTGAGCAATGTTTGGTTCACATAATTTTACTTTTAACTTTTAAAAGTCAGTTCAGTCGACCTCATTTTAAACATGAGCTTCCAGCATCAAAAGCCTTGTTTTCACTTCTCCATGTTATTGCAATTAAGCAATACTTCCAAAGAGTCTCCCGTTCTTCAACCAGGAAGCTTCTTAACAAAGCTGATACCTTAAAATATTTCAAATTGTTCCGAAACACAGCATTTTTAGATAAAAAACAACAAATAAAACTTTGATCTGAATTTCAGCACAATCCAAATAATTCTCTATTTACAGTCAACATGAGCTGTCAAGAACATCTTGTCTCATGCTTGTTTTTAAAAGAATCACATTTGTTTTCAGTTTTATATAAAGAAAATCGAATCCTTTTATTTGTATTTTATCCAATGAAGACATTCACAAAAAGTTAATTCATTTTTAGTTTCGACCATTCATTTTAACATGTCATATCTGAAACAAGTTTTTAAAAAAAAGTCTTTTACAGCTACAAATTTCCAATACATAAAATATTTATGTTTACACCAGAGGAACAGCTGTAAACTTGAAGTTAAATTATGGCTAAATTTCCATTTAGCTGCTTTAGTTTCTCCATCCTAAAATACGTGTGGAAAAGGATTTTAATCAAAGATAGCTTTAATGATGACATCTGTACTATTTTCTTTGCAGTGATCGATCAAATGGAGATAATTGGAAAAGTTCTCATCAATCATTTAGAAGAGAAATAGCTAATCCCTTGAAAAAGAATACACTTTTAAATACTTCTTTAGATTATTTTAATAATAGTGCAATCAAATTAAGTTAAATGTAGTTAATTTCAGCACTTTAAAGCAAAATTAAAAACAAGCACCATCGTATACAGAGCCTCCATTTTAATTACCACTCCTGATAAAAATGTTTAAAAAAAACTTTTAGGATATTTTTGAGCGTTGCCATAATCTCGAATAGAAAATATTGGAAAAACTGGACTATTAATTAGTATGTATTCAGTGGGGTAAAAAAACATGATCACTGGTACCCCCTGAAATTCAAGAAAATAACTTTCACTGTAGTGTTTTGTAAAAAATATCTACACTTTATTAGGAAGTTTTAATTCATTTTAGACAACTTTATGTTTCCCATAGTTATAAAATGAGTAAAACAGGAAAAAATGGCAGTTAAGTACGGCAGATGTCTTCCAGTTTTTCTTTCTTTCTGATAAAGCTTTCTTACTCTTCTTATCCTGTCATCTAAGTTCAACCAAAAGTCTATTTTGTTTGGTGTACGGCTATCATTTACAATGAACTGTTTCCTTTGGTGTCGAGAGACAGCAGATCACTATTTCTGGGGAGTACTCTTTTTTTTTAATACCTGATGATCAATTGAACAGCTAGAGCCAACATTAATGCTCCGTGCCTCGTCTATAAGTGCTCGAAATGTAAAATGAGTAACAAGAAAATTGGTTGAACGACACTGCAGCTGTAGCCACTAAAGGAAATCACCAAGCCGATGAGAGAAAGTCTTCATGGGTGCTGCTGGAGCACCTGTATGGCACAGAAAGGGATTAAGTAATGATCTCATCTGACATTTGTGTAGCAGAGATGCAATCCGATGACCCTAGATACTAAAGCATATAATTTCTCAGAAAGTATAGCAGAAAGAACATAGAGGGAGCATAATAAAAAGAATAGCTAAAATGAATGCAAAGCACAAGAATATTAAAATGATCTAAATATACGCACAAGCTAGAACCCAAAGACAAAAGTAGCCATTAAGGTCCAGGAATGCCCCGTAGAGGGACTGATTCTTGGAGCTTATTGATTACTTTCTGGGATTTACTTGCAACCTTTTGTAAATCATAGAAAGTTCCATAAAGTCTCCAGTCAGGCTGAGTTAAAAACCCTGAAAGAAACCCATTTTGAAACCTCTCTTGTAGGTCAGTGCCTCAGATCTTTCAGGTCCTTCCCTAAAACTTCAAGTTGTTTTTTTTTAAACATTAATACTAGGAGTGGCATTAATTGTGGAGGCTTTTTTTCCTTTCTATTTGGTTTGATCCTTTCATTATTTCAATAAATTTGCAAATCATTATATATTTTAACCACAGACGACAATATTGGCATCTGTCTTTCTGAAACATTTACTTCCTTTTGGGTATTTTACTCCTTTGTTGTCATTTCATCCGCATCAAACGACAGACCTAAAGTTTGTTCATCTACCAAGCCTGAAAAAGCAACACCGTTGTGCTTTTCTAATTCAATGAAGATGAGTAAAATACTGCCTTAAGCAGCTCTGCATATAAAATACCTCGCTTTTTTAAGAGAAACTCTCTAATGTGGGAGGAAAATAGGAACTGTATTAAATAACATGAAGTTAGCACCAACAGTGCAGTAGAAGGCATTGGACTTGTGGAGGCTTTAAACTGTTTCCACTGGGAACTGGAAGCAGGGTCTTCACCGTGTTGTTTTAGCTCTGCATGAAATTAAACAACAAAACAATAAAACAACTCTTCTGGTCCTGGTGAGGAAGGCTTAGTGACAATGCATCAAGGATCCACTTTGTTCTTTGTTATTTTTTCAAACACTGGTACATCAGCGCTCGTGGATTCAGCATGTAGCGCTCAGAGTTGAGTAGTTTGGTGAGATACTGAGGCACCTGGGGCCGCGGAGCCACATAGGACACCCCAGGGCTCACCGCCATCACCTCTGCAATCTTCTGCTTCATTTCACGGATCTCCCTGTCCTGTTTCTTCACCTTACCTGCCAAGAAAGGACAAAATATGAAGACAGGGTCAACATCTGGAAGGAGACGGCACAGATATGATGAGATAATAACCATAAAGGCACACACATTTCTGCTTTATCATTTTTATCAATCTAATTGTAACACATAAAAACAACACAAATTGCTGCAGTTTCGCTGCATGAGTCATCTGGATGTTGCTGCACGATGACTTCCCATGCTGCAGCAGGTAACACTTTAAGAGGCTCCGTCAGACTACTGCAATGTCTTTTGAGGTGGCAAAAACCTCAAAAACAACTCACAGTTCGCCAGTGAAAAAAAGAAAAAGCCCAAATAATGCAGTCATTTAAGAGTAAAAAACATTCCTATCATTTATTCTACAGAAGTAGCAAAGTTTCCAAGGGAAGTGATCAAAACTTATCAGATTAGAATTATATTTAATTTCAGGGGTATGATAATTATTATTTATTAGAAGCTGTGCAGATTTATGATATTGGATCTATAAATGTGTTATTATCTTATATTCCCATTAATCCAGACAAGTAACAGTGCATAATGGTCAAACAGCTGGTGGTTTGATTTGATCCTCTTTACTCCTGAGTAAGACTAAGCCATCGCTTTAAAAAGAAGTCCAAATGAGGATGGTCTCTGCAGACGCTATCAGTGGGTCTTCTAGGGTGAGTTGTGACAGACTCAGGTTACCTGGCATGATCTGGAATAGGACTGCAGAGAATCTAGCACCTTCAAACTATGTGTATGATGAGTGTGTACTACTATGTTCTTCAAGCTACACTTCAAAATAAAGTTATAATTGTAGTGAAAACAGACCCAATCCCGCAAAAACTCAAATGAACAGCAGGTTCAACTCATTATTAAATTCAATTTACTTAACCACCATTGAACGACTTTTAAATGCTAGGGAGATGGAACAGTATATCCCCCTGATAAAGTAAAACAAGCGGTCTAAGATAAACAACTAACTCCCATTTTCTCCAAGTGTACACTCTGTAAGAGGTCAACAACACTAGAAATAATGCAGCTCAAATGAATGTACATTTGTTTGGTTGCTTCTGTTAATTAAAACAAATGTTTCTCTGGTAATGAAGGCTCTTCTTCTGTATGGAAAGGAATTGGGTTGTGATAAATGAAAGCTTCCTATGTTGGTATACACACCTCCAGATTGTACATACAGCTGGTGGCAGACAAAGCAGAATTGGGAGTTTTTCTGAGTGCTTTTCAAACATAATGATGCAGATTCTTAAGGTGGTATCATTGCTACTGAATGGTCAAGTAAGCTTATAGTTAACAAAGATCAAGTATGGCTTAACACTGCAATTAGAGCTTCACTCTAACCTCTAGTCAAAAATGGTGGCAAAACAGAAGATAAACGAAATTCAATTTTTTATTCATTTTGGTTCTACTGTTTTAATTAATGATTATATCATTCTTTGACAAGTTAGCAACCAGAGTTTATTTTGTTTGCTCTTGTTTTAGTTTTATGTTGAAATGACAAAGCAAAGCTGTGGATGAAACATAAATAGACACAAATTTTCTGAATTTTGATTGTTTGTTTCCAATTCACCTTCCCAAAGTTTACATTAGCTGTAAGAAAAATTTTAAAATATGAATATACAATAGAAAAGACATATAGACTTTTAAAGACACGTTAGAGATGTCGGAGTATTTCTTATTGTATTGTTTTGGTGGATTTTCTTCTGTTTTATAATAAGATTTATGGATGAATGTACAGTCAAAGCTCTCATTCTGCTTCCTGAAAACAAATCCAATTAGATTCAATGACAACTGTAAGTCTGTTTTAAAGAATGGAACAAAGCTTAGGAAACCTTGAGCGATTTCCAGCTGTCTGCGTGCGTCTCCCAAAGCAGAAAAGAGGTCCAGCTTAATGCGTGTCTCTGCACTCAGGTTGTACTCCAGATGTTGTGCTTTCTCCTGCATGGCTGATAACGTGGAGAGCAGCATGTCTGTCTCCTTCTCAACACAGCGGTACTTCGCCAGCGCCTGAAAACAAAAGGGATAACAGAAAATAAATAGACAACACTAGTTTCTCACTTTTGGCCCACCAGAGGGAGTCAGTGCTTTGGTTTCTTAATTTTCTCCCTCCCTCTTTCTTTCTTTTTTTGGAGTGTTTTGTTAAGAAAATAACAAGCTGACTTTAAATGTAAGCATAGTTCAAACAGAGACCTTTTAAAGATGCACACAATGATTTCTTAACAGACCTTACTTTGATCTCAGCATGCACGGTGAAGTGTATGTTCAATAACACGAGATCAAATCTCAACACAACAACAACGTGCACACCAAACGTCCATTCAGTTATACGTACTGCTCACTGATGTAATGAGAAATTGAAATATGTGGACTGCAGATCAAATTAAACACACCAAAAAATCTTGGATGAAAATCATTCACTTTGCTAAACAACTTCTACACAAAAAAAAAAGAGAAACACTTGAAAAGCAAACACCGGATCATGAGCAAACTCAGAACGACGAGGCACACGACCATTTGAGACTCACAGACACTTAAAATCACAGTTCATTCCCAAAGAGGAAAAAAATACCTCGATATCTCTCTCTAGATCTACCACACGGCTCTCTTTCACTTGATACTCCAGCTGCAGTTGTTTGTACTCTGTTTCTAGATCTTTAACTCTTTTCCTCAACATTTGGGTTTCACAGTGTTCCTGCCTGGTGTAGGAGATGAAGAGATTAGCAGCTTGGATTGGGAAGAAAGGAGCGGGATTATCAGAAGATCAGTTCACACAGACAGAAACACAACAGTTGCCTTTTCTTTCTAGGGTGTTCAAAAAAAACTGCAGACACAAGCAGAAGTGTAAAGTTAAATTTGAGTTTAAAAGATACTGTAACTAATTTAATCTCTTTGGTGCAATATTATAATCCTAATGTACAGATTAGGGTCTTTTGTGCTGCAAAAATATTTCCTTGAAAAGTCAACGCTTTCTTTATAAACATGCATGGATGTGTAGGCATAACTTTCCAATTTCAGGGGTCATTTCAGCAGATGAGCTACTAACTCTACCTGAAGTGACAATCATGATGCAGCTGATTTGTTCCTTAAGAACAAAAGCTTAAAAATCAAAGTGTGTGATTTGTGTTTTGGATAACCTGCTACATTTTTTTGGGATCAGATGTGACATAGCATGAAATAGCATGAAATAATTGTGGTTAAAACTGTGTTATAGGTTTAATATAATCAATTTGGCAACTAAAAACACTTCAGCATAAAAGGCTGAAAGTTTTTAAATTAAGGATGGTGGCTACGGCTACATTATGGATGTCTCTAGTGAAAACTGTTCAGAAAAGCCTTAAACTATATTTATGGAGACTTGATGACCCACAGACACCAGCCTTTGCTGCAGCTTTCTAAGGGTGAACTTTGAAGGTTTTTAGTGTATGATGGTATTAGAAAGATAGACTTGGCTTCTCCGTTGTTGCTCACATTTCAAGTTAAAAAAAAAAATAATTTCTCCAAGTATTGACAAAATTCAGCAGAGGCTTTTTCCTGTCCCTGTTACCCAATTTAGGAAGATCTGACAAATCGGTCTTATTAGAACGGGTTGTTCTGTTGTCTTTCCCATTTTAAAGAGTGGCTAGGAGTGATGTGTCTCTATGTGAATTCAAACTCTTAAAGGCATAGTGAAGGATGTTCTTTTTCCAGGTGGATCATCAAAATAAGTGATCCTCCTAATTGTCATTCATTCTGCTGATATGTTTACGTAAGGCCGTCCTATGTGCTCGTCCCCATTTTCACTTACTGGTTGTGATTCTGCCATAGTGGAAAAATTGCAAATCTTCTTTTGGAAAGTAAGCTTGCATGAGCGATGCAAACAGCAACTTTTAAACAGAGCATGCACGAGGTGAAATGGGCTTTTGCGTGATTTTGCACGTGTTTAATAGGCGTTCCCTCTCAGGAGCGGGTACAGGGTTGTGCATGTGCATTCGTTTTTGTTTTTTCGTTTTTTAAGGCACTACTGGCTCTTTTTTTTTGACAGTAGGCTGACAGGAAAGGGGGTATGAGAGAGGGGGAGAGACAAAAGGCTAAGGACCACAGGTTGGATTTGAACCCGAGTCGGCCGCAGCGAGGACTAATGCCTCCGTACATGGGTCGTGCGTGCTAACCAGTGCTCTACCTGCACGCCCATGTGCATTTTTTTTTTTTTTTTTTTTTAAGTGTGGAGAGCAGGTCTTTTAAAAAATTGCAAAAATCCTCCACTATACGTTTAACCCTCAGAAACTGGAGGCCATGTTTTACTAATCCTAATTTAATCACAGTTGGCAGCTTATACGGTAATTAAAGTCAACATCATAGGTTGGTATATTTCAGATGAAATATACTTATACTGAAAGTTGCTAAAAGTTGCTGTTTTCAAATGTTAAGAATATTGTAGAGATTCAATTTGTAATCTCAGATTTTTTTAACACCCACCAGGTAGATATAATGAAAGTCAAGTATTATTTTACTTATTCAACATTTTATGTGAAATTTTACTACTCCACTAAAAAAACATACAGATCTTTAGCTAGTAACCCATAGATCCATTTAGAATAAGCTTTTAATTATCATATGTAGAATTTTAATTATAACAATAAAAACAAACAAATCTCTTCTCTTGCTAGAGAAGGATGTTATTATTAAATTTAGAAAATGAAAGTTAAAAATAGTTAACAATTAAATGTGAACCTTGAAAATTTAACAGTTTTGTTACTTCCTAACAGAAAAAAGAATATTGGACCGTACAAATTATTTCTAATTTTGGTTTATATAAAATAAAGTTAAAATTTTTCAATCCAATTATATCTAATGTAAAATAAGCAGGTCACAGTTCTGATTGTCTTCTTAATATAACTTTGTTCCATCTTAAAACTTGTACAAAACATGTACAAATAATAAAAAAAAAGCTTCAGTTATATTTAAAGTATTAGAGTTCTTGTTTATCATTTCAATTCAGTAAAAAACTAAACCGAAGGGGGGATTTCTAACAGCTTTGTCATTGATATCATGCAGCTGCAACAAAAAATGTATTTATTTGTAATTATCTTATAAATCAGAAAGGTGTTTATGAAGCAGATTTTTTTTTTTAAATCATCTACACTGTAGGCTAGCACTAGTTTTAAATTACACAGCACCAATAAATACTTCAAATGACCAGCCTACTGCAATGAGTTAGAGAGCTACTCTGATTTGGAGAATATGTGATATGGAGCTGTGTGCAGCCAAAAAACCCTCTTTGCCTTTGTTCTCAATTAAAGGAGTTGGAGGGAATCATCTGCTGATCCTAATGATAAAATACTTTAAAAGTTGCATAATGTGAGCTGTGACCAGCCTACAGAGGGCCTTAAACCTGAAAACTAATTTCAAAAGCAATTCTCAGCTGCAGGGAGCCAAGAACAGGGCTAATATTGTCTCAGCAGCAGGATTCTGGATAAGATGAAGGCGATATAATAAAGCATGACTGATGCCTGCATTCAGGGTATCGCTGTTATCAAGGCCTGCTGCAATAAAGGCAGCCTCAACCTTCTGAGAATCAGTGAAGGATTAAAAATAGAGAGGAGCCTGAGGTTACCCAGGTTTAATTCATAAGTCCACTACAGTGACATCAGACAGCCTACTAGACTCAAACAGAATGACCTCAGTTATGCTTTCATTTAAAATGTAACACATTTTGTCATTGATATCATATTTATATTAAGTTGATCTTAATATTGACAGAAAGCAAACACATGGCAGTAGAGCCCTTAGTGGTTATTATGACCAAACTGCAGCAGTGATTTGCAGCTAACAATGATAAGCTATCAGTGCTGCTCTGTGAGCTAAACAAATGTTTCACAGTTGTTAAGTATACCTTTCCCTAAGCTTTTAAGGCTGCGAGAGGAATTTTGAAGATACCTGATTTTGTTTTCAAGACAAAAAAAGGTCATATAAGTCCGTAAGAAAGGCTTTAACTTCCTCTTTTAACCCCCATTGGCTATGGTTGGGATTTAAAGGCACCCACTCAGTTCTGAAGAATGAAAGGCCCAGCAGGAGAGATTTACCTGTTTGTTAGGGTCCGTGCAGCGTTCGCTGCCTCCTCCAGTTTCTGAGCCTGAAGCTCAGCCAGCTGCCTTTCAGCAGCGAGTCTGCCCTCTGCTTCGGCTCTGGTCTTTTTCTCCAGCACCGCCGTGGTTTGTTTGTCCCTCTGCTTGGTTTTAGTCAAGCACAGAATCCTGAAGGCACATATTATCAAAAGGGGGGGGGTTTATATATAAAGTAGCCACATTTTATGTGCATCAGAGCATATTGTTGGGTGTTTAAACATATCAATAAATTATATAACAGCTTACGGAGATTATGAAGGAGTTTTATTCAGAGGACTCAGACTCTGCCTTCATTTCCTTAAACAACTGAACCGTCAAATAATTTAGCACTCGATCTGTTTTTTATTTAACTGTGGAAACAGTTTCCACTCTGTTGTTAGAATAATAAACAGAGACAAGACAATTATCCATTAGTCAATGTTTGCATCTTTAATATTTCTTCAAATCCTACTACTAAATCAACAGATCTGCGCTAAAATTAGCTTTTAGGCAAGACACAAACAGTTTTAAAAAATGTAAATGAATGGAATAACAGTAAAGTCAAGCCAAGGTAAATGTACCTTTCGATTTTTCATTGTTAATTTAGAGCTCATAGATGTAATTATTGATGATTTCCTGATATGTTCCACTAAACAGCCTAGCAGGTGTCTAGAAAATGGATACTTACCAACTGTGTTCACAGAATAACTTACATTTTTTTTGCTTTGAATTTTGAAATTTGTTCTGTATTAGCATTCTTTGACCTCAACACAAATAACAATTTTAAGTTCCATTTTTAAGAAATTAATATTTTTAACAAAATCTTAAAAGGGCCAATGTCACGTAAAATGAACCTTTTTTAGCCTTTAACAGCTATGATATTCCTTTATCATAATCATGCTCACTTTAATAAATTTGCTCTGAGAGCAAACATCAACATTCTCCCAATAATTACTGCACCACATCTGTCTAGTAAACAACATGCCCACTTTGATGGGCTGATGTGAGCTCCATCATTTCTGCACAAAGTTGGGACAAAGTGGCTCATTAAGTACATAATCTGCACGGTGACAGCAACTGTTGTCTTAAACATGTGGGAGAGGTGGCGTCGCAGTGAAGACAAGCGTCTTCCTTCTATGTTGTAAGAAATAGAACAAATAAATACTTTGTACTTCATTATACTTTATCATATATATACGTGTATAGATTAGTTCAACAACCATAAAGTAGGACCTTTACTTAACATATTTTTTATCATTCATATAATGTTTTGGACATCATACATAAAAATGTTTTAAACTGTTGAGTTTTATCGTGTCTGAACCAAAAATATGCAAACAGCTCAAAGCAGAGGATGGAATTGAAGTGCTTTTTGTGGAATCTAGAATCATTTTGACCATCTCTATTCAGAATCTACAACAGATGTCTTACCCGACATAAAACAAGGCAATGTATTAAATTGTGTAATGTAAAATAGTTCAAATTAAATTAAACTTACAGCTAAAAAACAAGACAAATAAAGAGATTACAGTTTATGTTGAACCAGTCTGTTTCAAACAAAAACAGCTCTGGAGACTGAAAAAAGCTAGAAGCTGTCCTTTTGTTAGCATTTTGAATGATCATGTATATTTCTTTGGGTTTTCAGTTTGTAAATTTAAAAAAAGCATAAGTTAAATAAAAAAAAAATTACATAATGTATTAAGACAAAGGATAGCACTGAAATAATCAATAGAAAAAGTACCTCACTTATCAGGGAATCAAATTCCAATCTTTAAAGAACGGAATAAAAAAAACCCCACCAATTTTCCCTCCTGATCTCAATTTAAAGGAACCAAAAAACCTTATAAAATGAAATTCCACACTGTTACAGATTTTTGAGGACAGCACAATGTGCCTAAAGTCAATCATATCTAGGCTAACAAGAAGTTATTTACACAACTCCTAAAGAATAGCTATAAAAAATGCGGTTATCTACTGTAATCATATTTGCTTAAAGGAAGAAAAAAATATATAACAGAAAATTGTATTAAGTTGTGGGTATCTCTGGGTATCCATTCTAATATAATCAAAAGATGCTCACTAACTCATTTTTAAGAACAAGCACAATCTAATCTAATAATAGGAATGATTTAAAGCTGGTGATTTACACCACTGCTGAGAGTGGCACTGGTGTAGTGTTTCAATGCATTGACGTTATCATTGACATTGAGCTGTTGCAGACTGGTAAAACATTTAATACTACATATAAAAATGACTGATAATTTTGTATGTATTTAAATATTCATAAATGATAATGATCTGCAGGGATTTGGATTTTCTATGATTTCAGCATTTTCTTGTTTATAACATTCTAATTGTGCTCCGTGTGTTTTACCATATTAGTTTATTTCTCTTATTCATGTGACTATTCCAAATCAGTGCAGCTTTTTTCTGTTTGGTTTCCTAGTTTTAGTGTTCTTTAATATTTAGAGTATTTCGTTTCAGATATTTCTCCAGGTTTCTTTGCAGCTCTGGTGTAGTTAATTAGTCCTCCTCCTTCAGCTGCTTGGCTTTTTTTTTGCCTCAGCAGCTCCTCATTCCACCTGATCAGCTACTCTTTTTTTATTTATTTCTCTTCCGTTCCTAGGCTCTCTGTTTGATTGCTACATGCCTGGTTCACTTATGTCTGATTTCTTTGTGCAAGAACATTTTGTAAATTTGACCAAAGCATCAAACATTCAATAGACCAGATATGTTAAAAATCTGTTCGTTCAGTGATTGATGTTTTGGAACCCTTATGCCCTTTCTTCTGTATCTGGTATTGATGGATGATATTTGGTTTAAACAGGCACACACAGAGCTAGAATACAACTCTCCCAGTGGGTTAATCGGATCACTCACTTGCTCTGCAGTAGCATGTTGGACTGTCTGAGGAGGGAAACTTCTGGCCTCAGGCTCCTCTCGCTGTTTGTCAGGTTACAGATGTGGCTTCGTAGCTCTTGTTCACTCTGCCTGCTCGTCTGCAGCTCGCCCTTCAGCCTCCGCAGTTCTGCTTCAAGTCTAATACAAAACAGAAAGACATTCAGCACCAATTATGCTCAGTCTGATGTAAAGAACCAATAACTTACTTGGTTATTTGTTCAGCATGGTAATTCTGAGTCACTGGGGCGCTCTTGTCTGCTGCGTCCCTGTTGGGGCTGATTGTTTTTGAGTTTGTCCTCTGTTTCTTCTCAGCCCTCCCAGCAGGAGGTGAGGGAGTGTTTGTGCAGCCTCTGCGGGCTTTTGGGGAGGAGCTCTTGGCAGCTCGAGTGGCTTTGCTTCCCTGATCCTCTTGAGGTAGATTTTCTGGGGTTACGGATGACTCTGATCCTCTTTCCCCGCTGTGAAGCTGATCTTTAGACTCAGCCACAGCATTTTTAGATGATGATGAGGATGGTCGTTGGCTCGTTTCGGCTGACCTCACCTCCTGTGACGACTTCTCGGCTGCCTGCTCCTCGCTGCGGATCTGCAGGCAGTCCGAGCTGTGTGCATCGTCATGGGCCAGAATGGCACCGTTCTGACAGTGATACTGACCGGGCTCGGGCTTGATCTTCCACTTAGAGCCTGCAAAACAACAGGGAGAAAAACAAACAAACATTCTCTGATTTCAAACCCAAAGCAGTATATTTATTACAATCTCCAGCCTGTAAAAACATTTCTATAATGACTTTTGTGCCACTGAAGACACATCAAGAAACTAATCATAAATGATGGGAAATGAAACCATCATATCTAACTGTTTATTGCACACAACCTTTAAAAAGTTAAGATTCTTGTGGAAGAGATAAAGATGAGGGAATATTTTGATGACACATCTACAAACAGCTCTTTGTCTGCTAATTATCCTCTGATAATGGAGTCAAGTGAAACTCGTTGATAAATGAAGCAGAAAAGTAATTAAGGAAGATTAGGAGGACATTTTTAACACTTCTCCAAGAAGGGGAGATTTTGGGGTTTGTTAGATGACAAGGCCTGGGTCACATTTTCTGCTCTAATTTATCCCACAGGTGTTCAAATCCTTTGGACCGGGCTTTAAACTTGGATCATTTCAGCCACGCAAAGATATTTCTCCTGGCAGGAGTCAAACCAGACCCATTCGTTAATTTTAAGAATGAGAGACATATGTCTCCACTGCTTTATAGATCATCAATAATGGGCTTTTCATCACTTCAGCTGACACTTTGCACTGGTCTTGGTGATGACTTGGAGTTTATATTAATTTCTCATTTCTGAATAGAATTATAAGCGATATTAATATGATTTCGTTTAAAGGAGGTACTGAATTTAGTCTTACATAAGAACCAAAATATCTAATAAATGAAAGTCAGAAGGTAGATATCTAGTAATCCAGCTGTATCTGTCAACCAAATAGATAAATCATAACTATTAAAGCACACTTTATCCTTTATTGTAAAAAAAAACATAATTCACATTCATTTAATTTAGTATATATTGTGCCAATTTACAACAAATCTAAATGTAAATTGCCTCATTTCAAGTCTATTTATAAAGACAATTTATTAAAATAAAACAGACACAATGGTTAAAAGTTAAATAATCTAAGGAAACCCAGCTGATTGCATAATGTAAAGGAATCAACAGAAAACCAGCCTTGAGAAACCAAAGAATGTATCCCTAAAGGTATAGTGGAGGATTTTCTTTTTCTGGGTGGATCATATAAATAAGTGGTCCTCCTAATTGTCAATCATTCTGGTGATATGTTTATGTAAGGCCGTCTTAAGTGCTCGTCCCCATTTTCCCTTACCGGTGGTGAGTCTGACATGGTGGAAAATTTGCAAATCTTCTTTTGGAAAGTAGGCTTATATTAGAGATGCAAACAGCAACTTTAAAACAGAGCATGCACAAGGAGAAATGGGCTTGTGCATCCTCCACCATACGTTTAACACATTTTTTAGAGCAATAAGGCAAGAGAAAAGTAGATGAAAAGTCAAAAACCAGCTGGTTCCAAAGCTGGCCAAGCAGCATTACTGAGCTGCTGCTGCAGGTGCCTGTTCTTACCGCTGCTGCTGCCATCTGTGCCGGCCTTGGAGTAAACCTGCAGGCCTGGCGGGAGCGAGTGCTGAAGGAGGTGCATGTGGAAGTCATTCTCACTCTGCACGGCTTTCTGTATGCGCAGCTTGAAAATGTTTGTGAAATAGCAGGTGGCATCAAACCCCAAATAAACAACTGGATAGCCAATGCTGAAAGTAGAAAGAGGAGGAAAATGCTGTTAGAAGAACACAACTTTGAATTTAGTATAAAGATACAACTTGGTTAAGTCCTAATAAAAAAATGTCTACTTTGACAACAACTGTGTGTTCTTCATAGCTGCTGTCACTTCCACCTTTATTAACCCTTGGTCAAATGGTGCAGAAACAATAATTAAAAGCTATACTACAATGCAAAATATCTAATAATAATAAAAACAAATAAAGCTTGTTTTTTTTATTCTAATTTAATGGGTTTTAAATAATGAATGAGACGGAGACTCACAATTGTTGTCATCACTGGGGTTTAAACAGGAGACAAAGTCAATTTATCTAAATATTCCAAATAAAAAAAAAAAGACGAGAGATTTTTTTTCCAGCGATCCAGCCAGAGTCATGACTTAAATGTATTTGTGAATCTCTGGAAGGTGATGGGAAGGAGAACTTCTGACCGTGTACTTTTTTTCCTGATCATTGAAAAGTAACCTTGAATTCTCACTGTATTTATGGGTTTACAAACAGGCAAGAACCCAACTCTACCACTCCAGCTTAAATCGTTTAAGTCCAGTATTTATGATTCAAGGTGGGACATACATTTATGATCAAAGCTGCAGTACCCACAAGCTAACCAAAACAAACATGGCAGAGTAAGTTGGTGTGGTTTCTCATGGAGTCTGCAGCTATTCAATTTGTTCCTGAGGTTGGTTAAACCCAAGAGAGGGTCACTGAGAGGGCAACAACTGAGCCACAAGGGGGCGACCTCCCCCTCTGCTCCCCCACCCACCAGAGATCAACTTTGTGTTTCAATTACAATCTTTTTAATTTAAATTGATAAATTTGCATGAATACATCTGTGCTTAACTGCATATTTTGGAGAAACCACATCTCCATTCATAACCACTAGACAGTTTCTATAAGCCAACTGTTCTGTTTATCTTGTGATGTATGTCTGGAAATTAATTTTCTGTTGTACCATAACAAATCTAAGTGAGAATAGTTGGCTAAATGCTAACAAGAGTTTAACTCTAAGTTTTGATTGATTGAAAGTGTATGATTGCATTATTATGCAATAAATACAGGCAACAATCCATTCGATCTGCTGAGATAACGGGCCATGTGTGCTTTCAGAGGAAGTGGCTTAAATTTGGGAAAAAGGTGGCTTAGAAAAAAAAAAGGCAAATAGGGCAGCACATACCAAGTCCCAAATGTGTGCTGATTTCTTTTCAAGGTCCATGGCATCATCAACTCTTTTAAATATCATCAGTAAAATAGAAAAGATGTTTTTGACCTCAGCCAGATCACTTTGGATCTTTCGCTAAGTAGTCAAAGCAACATTGAAATGATTCACCGAGTATAAAATGCACTCTCTTCCATCAAAGCCCCGAGACCTAGAACTATTAAAAAACCTGTGATGTGAGCTAAAGAGAAGAGAGCATAGGAGAGATAGTTGTATAAACTATATATCTATATACACAATTGATGTAATAAAAGAAGAAAAAACTAATTAATAAATTAAAAGTACAGCTTTGCAGTGTGTGATTATCCTACTGCAGTATATGATGTTTTGAAGTTTTCTTAAGGCTATTTGTGACCCTGCCTATGAAAACCCAGCTAAAGTCATTTTTTGGTGAATCTCAACTTAATGTATAAAACCATTCTTAACATTGTGTAGAATGGTTTTATACATTAAGTTGAGATTCACCAAAAAATGACTTTAGCTGGGTTTTCATAGGCAGGGTCACATTTACACATTTTTAACTGAATGGCAAAATAAGTGTAGAGGGTGCTGCGTTATCTGGAGGGTACATTTTTAATAAAAAAAAGCATACCAATGTGCTGCAAAAAGATGAGACAGGTTGGGATGAGATGTATTGAGATCTTTAAGCCGAAGCGAAGCCTCTGTGTAGATGAGCAGAATCCACAGGGACACCGTTGATATACAGATGCCCTTCTCTAGGAAGAAAAACAGGATTTACTGGAGGGCTTCAGAAACCTATTTAAAGGCACTGTATGAATAAAAGTGGCAGCTCTATGATGCAAATATAAAATGAAACAAGAGTAAGAAAACATGACATCTCTTTTGGATTAACTGAGGTGAGATTGGGCATTTTTTCTGTTTTTCATTTAGAATGTGTTTTAGGAAATGATGTTGGGTTTAAGAGGAGAGATGTCAATCCGGAAAACAAGCAAACACTCAGCAGCCAGACTGACTGAGATGATTCCCCAGTAAAGGAACAGGATTTATTTCAGCAAAGGAAATTTCTAAATATATTGTGACAGCCTGGGTTTAAAGTTTTGCTGCAGTTAAACCCAATAAATATATGGGATTTCTGGTATAACAATAAAACTGAATAAAAAATTAACATCAAATTCATCATTATATATGGTAAATCTATTTTTCTACAATAATAAAAAGAACTTAGTTATGAATGTATGGATGGATGGATGGTTGGATGGATGCTTGGTTGGATGGTTGGTTGGTTGGATGGATGGATGCATGGATGGATGGAAGGACGCATGGAAGGATGGATGGATGGATATATGGAAGGACAGATGGATGGATGGTTGGTTGGGTGAATGGATGGATAGACAAAAGGATGGATTATTGGATGGATGGATGGATATAAGAATGGATGGGTGGATGGATGAATAGACAAATGGATGGATGGACAGATGATGGATGAAATAATGGAAGGGTGGACACACAGATTGGTAGATGGATGGATGCATTAGTGGCAGATCGTACATTTTTATTTTCTGAGAGAATCTATTGTTTCAATCAGATGCTGGGTAATAAGGCAACATAAAGGTTTTTGCTTTCAGGTTATAGAGAAAGAAGGTTCTCACCTGTGTGCCATATATAATTGAATAATACGTAGGTGCTCGCCACAAAAAACAGCCAATGCAAAGGAACAAAAATTAAACAAAAGATGTCCAGGGTGAAGGCAGCGCAAACAAAAACAACACAAATAACCTGAAATTAAACAGGAAAAAGTGAGTTAAGTTCATCGCATGAAACAAAACAAACAAGTAATACAGAATAAAGGCCATTGTGCCTCGTTTTCTTTGCACAGGAGCAGCCTTGGTTTTTATTATTGGGGCTGCAATACAGATTATGAGAGCACACAGCAGGAGTCCTCACCAGGCCATGGCAGTGAAAAGTGGTGTACACACTCCCAAAGAACAGCCAGCATGGCCACAAATACTCCAATCTGAATTCAAGGATGAAGTCTGCCAGCAGCACCAGCGTCCACATCACCATAAACTTCAGGAAGGTGTACGCACTGCAAAAACATTTAAAACTCATAAAAATCTACATTTTCCTATATACTGCATACATGTAGCCTACATATTTATATATACCAAAAAATATTTAGAAGTGAATAAATATGGCACCAGGAAAACAAACAATCATCTTCTTTCTGTTCATGGAATTCCAAGCTTAAGTCACAGTCTTTCATGCAAACAAAAAGCACAAGCCTGGATATATAAAAGATCTAAAAGTAAAACAGAGCAGCTGCATCTCAACAATGAAGTCCATTCCTTTAAGTAGAGGCAACAAGAACAACGACTGTCCCCATGATCAGTTTTATTAGGCAGCTAAACACAAGCGGTGCTTTCCTTCCTTTGTTCTGCTCATCCATTGACTGCCATCACATCACCCCTTCTTTGTTTGGTTGCCATGGCAGTATCTCATCTGGAGGAGAGAGGGAGCACCACAGCATCCTTCTGCTACTCTACATAATGTCTCTTTTTAAACTGACCAACATGGTTTAAAGTATCAGAAACATACACGTTTTTTTTTTCACAACATAAACTCACAAAATTTCACTTTTTAATTTTGAATCTTAAACAGCTTATATGTATTTAGTTTAGATGGCTAGCTTGTATTCACGTACAACATGTTAGAATTAGCTTATTTTAATTTTGTCTGTGATCAGCAAGTCAAATGCCTAAAAATATAATTTTTCTTAAAAAAACTTCATGACAAAAACATCAAAACTAAAAATCCTCACTCTTTTATTTTTGGTCCATAAACACATAAATCAACAACATGTTATTTGAATCAGTTTTTTCCAATTTTGAGTAAAGAAAATTAGAGATTTATGCACACAATACCACGTTTGGAGATAACTCTACAGCATGTAATTTGCAAGTATTCTAACCCGTTTATTCACATTAATGTTTATACTCTGACTTCACTAACACTGTGTTTAACATCTGCTCCTTTTTTTTTTATCACTTAGCATAATTTTGCTGTCTAAAGTTAATATTTAAACTAAAAATTGCCCTCTCTTTTATTCTATTCCACTCGAATGTCTCCTGTTAAGTATGATATTTAAATCATGGACTGTATTTTTTTTTCTACTTTTTTTTGTATGTTAAATATTTTAAAGAATCTCAATCACTTCAA